CGCCAGGCCAGCATGTCCCGCGCCACGGGCCCGCAAGCCGCACGGAGCTCAGCAGACCGCACGTCCGGCGCGCCGGTCCACCCCGCAGGCCCGGCGACTGCGGAGACGCGCGGCGGCTGAGGCCTCCATACTGATTTCCAGACCCTAGCACATTCCTCTTATACATGAAGTCTGGAACCGCCAAGGAAGGACGTTTTCGCGACGCTTTTACGACACCAACGCGGATCTGCTCCCCGGCGCCCCCGGGTGGCCGACTCAGGCATTTACAGTCCATGCCTTTGCAAAAGAAGTAGTGTTATTTTTGTTTTGTTTCTTTTTGTATTTTGTGTTTTGTTTTTTTTAACCTCTGTCTATGCACGACCGACGGCCAGTGGTCCTGGACAAGGAGGGATGTGCGCTGCAGCAAAAACATCAGGGAGCCATCTCAGTCTACAGCCTAAAATCCTGGGACGCGGAGGGGGGGTTGGAGAGGGTTTGCTATCCTAGCTATGCAAGAGGTTGAGATCGGAGGATCATGGTTCCAAGTCCGCTTGGGCAGGAAAATCTGTGAATTACCTACCTACAAGGCTGGAAGCAGAACTGTGGCTCAAGTGGTAGAGCACTAGACTTGAGCAAAAAAGCTCAGGGACAAAGCCCAGGCCCTGAGTTCAAGCCCCAGAATCCTCATTAAAAAAAAAAAAAAGTCATCAGAGAGTCCACTGAGTTGTGCACTATGCTGTGTAGGCTCATTGGGAGTTTAAATTAGTATCTGACAGAAATAATGTTCTAGTTCCATATTTCACCCCCCTTTTTCTTCATGAGCATGAAATGAAAGTGCACATGTCCAAAATAATGGAAAATGTCCGTTACCAATTACTAGTTTACTGGGAAAGCTTGCCTATTATACTAAATATTATCCTATCTAATCCTCCCAAATCTAGTATGGGCTCCATTACACTTTTACAGATAATGAAGCTTAGGCTAAAAGGTTAAAATCTTGTTTTTGCTAAAATCAAAATAGTACACAATCAGTGTTCAGGCATATTACAGAACTTTGTCAAACTGAATATGCTTTATTTTTTCTTTTTAGCAGTACTAGTTTTAACTCGAGAGCCTCACGCTTGCTAAGTAAGGGAGCACTACACGGCTGGAGCCATGCCATCATCTGCTGTTATATTTCGAGGATTGTGTGCTTTTTGGCCAGGTTGGCTTTCTACACTTCTGGCTGTTTAGTCCTGTGATTAGTGGATACCAAATACAGAATCAGAAATCTAGAGCAGTTTCTTCTGATAAATTAGACTTCTGTCATCTTTCCCCAATGTAACTTTATATATCCTTAACATTTGACTTTCCAGAACTTTGTTTCCTCTTTGACCACTGATGAATTGTGTAATTCCTTTTTGTTTTCATTGATGTTAACTTTTTGGATTATCTATCTAAAATGCCAGTCCTGAGGCTTGAACTCAGGGCCTGATATTGTCCCTGAGCTTTCTACTAATAGTGTCAAACCACAGCTTCACTTCCAGCCTTTTCTTTTTTTTTTTTGTTTTGTTTTTGTTGCTGTTCCTGAAGCTTGAACTCAGGGCCTAAGTATTGTTCCTAAGCATTTTTTGTCCAAGGCTACCATTCTGCCACTTGAGCCACAGCTCTACTTCTAGCTTTTGGTAGCTAATTGGAAATACTCGCCTCAAGTACGTTCTGCTCTTGCGGACTTTAAACCATCAAACTCTGTTGCAAGCCCCTTTGTGCTCCTTAACCTGCTGTGACCAGGAGCAAGGCAGTAATGGAGACTGGACAGTGGAACTGAGGTTTGGGGTGCCAGGGGACCTGTAGCCTTCTGCAGCTTCAGATCCCAAGGTTCCATTAACCAAGGTTTTTACTGGTTTTGTATAGGGAAGTATATGCAGAAAGTAAGGTATGTCAACGTGTGACAATATTTTGTACACATGGCAGATGACTTCCCTATCTTGTGAATGAAAGCTAAACAGTAAACAACTTACAATTTGCATAAACCTTAGTCTACCCCCAGGTTCCCAAGCAGTTTATGGTGAAATTAGCCCACACCCAGGATAGAAATCTGACTTCCCATTAAGCCAGGACTTATTGACCTCTCCAGGAAACTCCCAGTGTTCTGAGAGTTCCGAGACCTTCCAAATCCCCAATCTCACAGCTTGGAATTTGGGCTCTCACAATTCTCAGATCTCAACCTCCGAAGTAGCTAGGATTACAGGCACGAGCCACCATTGCCTGGCTGACATATGCTTTTAATTCTATTAATAACTATAGATTTTTTTAACCCTCTAGATTCTGAAGACATTGTATTTACACTATCTACTTTATCCCCGATTTGATTTGATGTGGGTACAGGTTGAACCCATGGGCTCTAAGCTTTCCACATCAGCCCTTCTGTATTGGGAAAGGGTCTTGCAGATTTTTGTCCAGGCTTGCTCAGAACTCTCGATCCTCATGCTTCTGCCCTTGTGTAGCTGGGATTATACCACTGTACTTGGCTTTCATTTTAGTATCAGGTTTTTGCAGGGCACCAGTAACTCAAACCTATTATCCTATTCAGAAATCTATAGAATGGAAGGTCAAAGTCAGTTGGAGCAGAAAAGTCCGTGAGACTCCATCTGCAAAATAACCAGCACAAATCAAGGCTGGAAGTATGGCTCAAGTGGCAGAGTGCCAACTAAGTAAGAGGAAGGTCCTGATCTTACAACCCTGGTACCCACACCCACGAAAAATAAGGTTTTAATTTTATATTGTGTTCTATGGCAATCATCCCACATTCATGTTTTCTGTCTTACATTGGTTAAATATTCAGGATAAACCCACTATCTTTTTTATCTTGCCAGTTTTAAAAATTATTTTTTCATTCATCTTCTAGTTTGCTAAAAGTAGTGTTTTAGATTTTCCAAAATTGGCTCACATCTATTTGTCTCTGTGTATCTGTATGTGTAGTTTGGCTGGCAACCCAGTTCCATTTGAATCCTTCCACAAAATATAGAAAATTCTGTGTTTACTGGTCCTGCTTCCCTCAAGAGCCAGGAAAACTCCTTAACATCTTATGAACAAGGCACGTAACTTAGGCTTGACTTTTCTTCACATCATTTCAAAATGAGAGTTCTCTTGAATTCAGCAGTTTAATTAAGGAAGCCCCAAGAAGAGTCTGTCTGTTGTTGTTCTGGTGGGGGGTGGGGCATTTTTGCATAGCAATGGTGGGCCAGGAGAAGTTGGTACCTGTGTGGCAGGAAAGTGTCTGTAACTCTTTTCAGGCCAGATTTAAGTTCTCAGACTTCTTGCAAGTCTAAACTAACCACATTTCTTTAAAAAAAAAAAAAATCTTTTTTTGCTTGAATCTCTGTTGCTTCTAATCAAGAGTCTACAGATTGTGGGCCACATCAGACTCACTGTACATAACTATTAAACCATTATTTTAAAAAGCAAGTGTCATTTTATTCTTGACAGGAAGTTTTTAGGAAACCAAACTTTAATGTTGAAAAATGAAGTCTTATTGGAACATACACTCATTTGTTTACGTATTACTAGAATGCTTACCCAGATAAGACATTTCATGTGTGAAACTATAAAATATAACTATAAATAAAGTAAAATAAGGAAAGCTCTTTTCAGCCTTTTGGAGGAGATATATAACATTAGCATATAACTTTATCCCTTCTTAACTTAGTAGAGCATATCTTAACAGTTCCTTCCTATTACAATACTTTTGGGACATCATTTTCTGGAGAACTTTGGGGATTTTTGTTTTGTTTTTGCATATCTTCATTATTAATAAACTCTATGGGGCCTGACTTGGAAAGTCCTTTCACATAGTTTGAAGCTGGTAAACCTTTGCGCCCTTTTTCAAGAGGTAACCCTGGTCATTTAATGATCCAATAAAATTTTCAAAATCAGCAACCTAGAAGAAAACATCAAGAGTTATTAGCTCATTAGGAAATATGCCAAATTACTGGCTTTTGAAATTAGGCTCTCAGACAATGAACAACTGTCAGGTTTCCTGGAAAATGAAATCATTTGTACTTTCTTA